TTTTCAGTTACATATATTTTGATACTGTTTTTGTCCTTACGTATACGAAGTTGACTTTTGAACTGTAATACATATATCAGTATACATATTTCTCTATTTCATTTAAATATACAATCAAATGGATAATGTGTAATCATAATTTTCCCCCAAGTTCAAGAGTTTCCTAATAAAGTGAAGGTAGCAATTATTCTTTGCCTACCACAAAAATGGCCTTCAATTTATCACTCCTTCATGGTAGCTAGTAATTTTGCTTCGTAAAATTCCCTCTTTATTACTTTGGACATGGGTTAAGTTTAGACAGTTGCAGGAGTTACAAACATATAGTAACTTAGATTACTAGGAAACAGAGCATAGATTAACATTCCAGAGATTTAAGAAAATTACAACTTCATGACAATCACAAAGCTAATTGCTAAGACATTGTGATTGCGAGCATTAAAATTAGCAAAAACCAAAAGGCTCTTTACCACGGGATTATGTGCTTAACCTCCATAATATAAATGCGGAAATTGATAAAGAAGTGGGCAAAATTTTTAAAGGAAATAATTGAAAATAAAATGATTGAAATAAATAGTGAAAAAAGTGAAGAAAATATATTAAAGTTGTCAGAATGTAAATTACTTAAATGAAAAGAAACTCCATCATCCTAATTACCCATAACATCTTATAATTTCCTCGTATCTTTCAAATAGTCTTTACCTTTAATAATCTTAATCATATGTTTAACTTCACTATTCAAATCTTTATTTCTAACTGTGTATAATTAAGATTCATTATTATTTTGATATGGAAATAATGTGAGTATTAACAAAAACATTAAAAAAAACATGAAATTTCCTGTCTAAATTTGGTGTATCGAAACAACACTATATATATATATATATATATATATATATATATATATATATATATATATATATATATATATATATATATATATATATATATATATATATAAACATAAAATTTTTGATCTAAAATGGTGTCAAAACAACGTCATACAAGCAAACATTACAACATCCGTATCAAAATTATATTGTAATTTCAAAAAAAATATTAATTATTTCTTTTAATTATCAAATTTTATTAGTAATAATTTGATATTTAATAGGTTATAGAGGTAAATTTATGTATTTTATAGAAAATATTTAATTTAAAAATTAATATATAAAATGAACTAAATAATATGAAATTGAAAACAAATTCTATTATTTAATCTATTACATTCTATATTTGATATTCTTGTAATATTATTCTAAAATATCCTTTCAACTATTTCAAAATAATAACATATTTACTCAAACATCCTACTTACTTACTTGGTTACGAAGGTATCATCTTCGCTTGTTGTACGGAGATCTATTGTCATAATTTGAACTGGTTTCTTGATTCAGACAACTCAAATATCACTCTACAATTTATTATACTAATATAATAATATTATTTAAAATTAGATTAAGTTTTTTTTTTATGTATGATAATTATTTTGGCTTTTTTTTACTATACTGGGTAAAAAAAAAAAATTTATCAAAGGGGTAAAAATTTAAATTTTATCCAAAATTGATTAAATTATACTAGAAAAAACAAGATGAAATCTTACTTTCAAGCACAATTTTAATTATTAAAAAAAACATATTTAGTAACTCGAGTTATGTATAAATAATATTATATCAGTATTATTTAGTACGAGTTCTCACAATTTATTCAAAAAAAAAAGGATTTTTTTATTTTTTTTAAATATATTATTTATTAAATAATTATTTTTAATTAAATTATTAATTTAATAGAAAACAAAAATAATTAGATAAATATGATTAAATTTAATTTATTATATTTATATTAAAATATTATATTATTTTAAAAAATACAATTTTATTTTTGAAATGAACAATTTGCACCATTATATTATTTATTTCGATAATTATCTTAGTTTATTTCTAATTTATATATCAATTTCATTCCGATAATAGTTTATTTCTAATTTATACATCAATTTCGTTCCAATAAAAGACACGTTAAGAAGATTTACAATTAATCATATTCAAAATAAAATGAATATACACGTTAAAAATAAAAAATAAAAAATTTATATTTTTTTTAAATAATATATAAATATAATGAATTAAATTTAATATGTTTGTCTAAATTTTTTTATTTTTATTAAATTGATATTTTAATTGAAAATAATTATTTAATAAATTATATATTAAAAAAATAAAAACTAAAAAACTTGTTTAAAAAAAAAATCATATTTTAAAGAACAATTAAAAGTGTGCTTTTAAAAATGATGTTACTCTCAAAATCGTCTTTACTTTTGAAAAAATTTTAAATTTTCGACCCCTTAATATAATCGAAATTTGTTTGCCCACGAAAGAAGGTTAGAAAACCTCATTTTTCTTTTAAATTACTTATTTGAGCATTGTGGTCTTCCTCAAGCGAGATGTAATATTTGTAGGATTCACTTGTGTATCTCCCATGACAACTTGTTTCAGCTAAGCAATAGTGATGATATGTTCTTTTTTTTTCTCAACAAAATTATCAAAATTAAGACTAAAGCGTATTTGTAGAAATATAATATAAAATATAATTTTTATATTTAAGTTTTGAGTGAATTCAATTAAATGCAAGTATCAATTGATTTTCGAATTGACTTATAATTGTCACCGATCAGATTATCATTAACATGTAACAGACAAAACTTGAGAAAAAAAAAAAAAAGTTCACGTACGCCATAAAAAAAAGTAAAAAAACTCATTCAACCCCTCATTTTTTACCCATAACATGTTCCAAAAACTAAATGACCTAGAAGAGAAAAACTTGCCACCGCGCAAGTAGCAAGGTCGTGGAGAAGCCTTGGCGCTGGTCGAGGAGGGTTTGCGTGTGAAGGAAGGGATGAGAGAGAAGGTTGACGAGCAATAGGGACAAATTGAAACACTGAGGGCCCTGCTCCAAATGTCACTTATGATTTTGCTTTTAAATTTTAATATATTTATTTATATATTTATAATTTTTTTTTTAATTCTCATATAATTTATAATTTTACCCTCTAATTTAATAATAATTTTATATATTTATAATTTTATTTTATTTTTATTTATTATTTTTTAATAGTATATTATTTAGTCGGATAAAATATTCTAATCTCCGTCACTGTGAGGGAGAATTGAAGATTTGAAGGAAGCGAAGAGTGTGGAAAAAAGATAGAGAACGGAGAGAGAGAGGCTGAAGAAGGGAAAAAGGGATTAGGGTATGTGTGACCGCTGGTGGCAGCACGAGGTGGAGCGGTGCACACCACCGTCAGCGAAGGAAGTTGCCGTTTGTCCTCTCATTGAACCTCACTCGCTCGCTGCCATTGGTCCTCTCATTAAACAACCTCACCGACTGACAGAACTGCGAATACGGTAGAGGAGGACGAGGACGTAAAAATGTGCGATGTTCTGTGACGGCGAAATGACAGCCTCTGAGCACGCCGTGGTGGCTTGTGGATGCGTTCAAAATCCACCAGACTTTGACAGTGGCTAAGAAAAAAGTATAAGAATGAAGCCTAGTAAGATCAAGAATTTTGGCTTTTTTAACATAGTGGGTACAAAAATATTTGATTTTATTAAGGGTCGTAAATTTAATTTTTTTTTAATTAAGTTAAATCGTAATAGGAGAAACGAGTTTAAGAGATCAAATTGTGCTTCAAAGTACACAAGCACGAATTTAGTTGATGACTTTTTTTTGTTTTTTTTTTAAAACATGTAGCACAAGTTAGGTATAAATATCACTATTCACAATTTGTGTTATTTGAAAAATAGGATTTTGTATTTTTTTAAAAATATATTATTTATTAAATAATTATTTTTAATTAAATTATTAATTTAATAAAAAAACAAAATATCTAGACAAATATAATTAAATTTAATTCACTATATTTATATTAAAATATTACATTATTTTAAAAAATATATAAATTTATTATAAAAATAAATAAATTATATTATTATATTATTTATTTTAAATAAATATTTTTATTTTATTTTAAACTTGTACATTTCGATAAAAGATACGTAAAGAAAATTTATAACTAATCAGATTTTAAAATGAAATGGATATAAAAATTACAAATAAATAAAAAATAAAAAAGTTATTTTTTTAAATAAAAGGACATAATCTTATAAATGTTTAATTTTAACAATAGATTTATATATTTTTTAAATAATATAATATTTTAATATAAATATAATAAATTATATTAATATTTTAATTTAAAAAATTATTTAATAAATAATATATTAAAAAAGAAGTAGGGTTTGATTTGATAACACAATTTGAGTTAAACATGTGATTCCAAACATAATTTTACTTTCAAAATGATCTCGCTGTAAGAAAGTTTTAAATTTTCCACCCCTTTTATAAAATCTAAAATTTTTTTAGCCAATGGTAAAAGAGCCAAGAATTTTAGTAGATGTGATGTGATCTCACTTGGTTTGAATAAGTGATCAACCAATTCAAGGAAGCATGCATGCATATTCTACGCTTATCATGCAATGTCAACGTACTGGTTTCCCAGAGGAAAACACCGACAAGGGACACGAATTTGCAAGACAACCTGAACGCATGCATATGCTTATCATGCAGATTTGAATGTGTACGGGTTTCCTAAATTAAAACAACGATAAAGAATTTGCAACACAACCCGAAACTAATCAAACTTTACAAACGACAAGTAAGATAAAAGCATGAACAGCATGAAGGTGCTTCAAATCATTACAAACTACCACGAAGGTACAATGTAATTTCCCCCAAAAATATACACAAATAAACGCAGAGGTTTCTCCCTTTCTTTTTCCATTGACGCCACTGTAAATTGCTTCTCATATGATTCCCCATTTAACATGGCAAAATATATCATTGCATTGCACCCTCCATTATTAGTCCCACCCAAATTCAATCTTCCTTGCCGCCCATGCAAGAACCTGAAAACATTACCGTTAGCAATTTATGTTATATTACCATTACCATGGTCTTGTTCCACCGTTGACATCCATTGACCAAGTCCTTCGAGTAGATGCAGAAGGACCTATGTTAGGACGTGAAGCCCTAACACTAGTACTCGTCACGGTTCTCGAAGAACCAGAACCAGAAGAACGTCCAGGCCCAACCCCACCACCTCTCATGCAACTAAACAAACTGTCAAACATTCTCCTAAACGTGCCACCTCTTCTCCTCCCTCGAGACTCTGAAACGGACCAAGAAATCCTCCTCGGTTCACCCATAACAACGTTGTTAAAGTTGAACCCACCATCCACTTCCGTGTACACAAGAGGAACGTTAACATCTCTCTCACCCTCTCTTCTCCCCAACCTTCCCACCGCAAACCCTCCACCCGGTAACCGCCAAATCGTCAACCCCACGTTGTTCGCTCCCTCCTCCTCGACACGCTCCAACCCCGCACTTTCGTTCTCAACAGGCAACTCGTGCCGGCACACGGGGCAGGAATTCCGAATCGCTAGCCACGGCAAGATGCATTCTGAATGGTATATGTGTTTGCATGGCATTTCTTTCGCCTTGGTGCAAAGCTCAAAAGGCTCCTTGCAAACCGCACAGTGTGACTCGGTCGCCATATGAGACGCGTTTATCTCAATTGTAGGCAAGGCCTCCACGGAGGCTTTCGACGCCGGTGCGTGGTTCTGGTCGTGCCTCCCAGACCCTGAGTTAGACTCAACGTGGGAAAGTTGGTCCATCACACGGTCGAAGCCTGTTCCGAGGAGAAACTCCGACATCCTCGGAGGGAGTGGTCGGAGACCGGTACCGGCGCCATCGTCGTAGAAAAGGTCAAAACTGGAGCCACGGTGGCTACTTGATCCCTCGCCGCGGAGCATGATGACCGGGTTGAGCGGTGACCGATCTCCTGTGACTGGTCTGCAATGATGATGACGAGAGGAATGGGGAATGTGGTCTGGGTTACCGGAACGGTGGCCGATCATGTACATGGCCGCCGCCCTAGGGAATCTACGGCGGCGTGTTTCGACGTGAATGGAGCGGTGGGAAGGGTCAATCTCTTCAACGAATCCACTGTCACAATCGGGACACATAGGCATTTCTTGTCTCCATACTCTGACGAATTTGTTGCACCGGAAACACCAATGGGAAGACATTTCGTCACGGATACGGTGCGGTATATTTGATACGAAAACGTAACGGGAGAGGGGATATTAGTTTGAAGGAAAAAGATTAGAAGCGTAGAAGTTGAACATTGTCGTGGATTCGATGAGAGAGTGGTTTGGATTAAAGGATTATAGATTAGTGTTTGAGGGTGTGGCTTGAAGGAGATAACAGAAAAGCGTAGTTTGTTTTTTTGGCGTGTCGGCAACGTTGTTCGTTGCACGACACGTCGTATTAAGCGTAGAATGAATGAACAGTTTAAAGTTTTTGGAGTTACGCTGGTGCGAGATTCCAGGCTCTTTCTCTTTCCTGTCTCTTGTTTCCCTTGCGGTTTTGTCTGAAAATAGCGAAACTGAAGATTCTGTTGCGGGATCTCAGCTACAAGCTTGTCTTGAAAGGGTGTTTCCCTACTTTTTATTCCTGACTCATAAACTGCATTTTTATTCATTCATATCTAACAAAACACAAATGTTATTTTTAAGATGCAAAACCAATTTTCATTAACCACTTTATGGAATTCATGTCATCTGAAAATATGAATTAGTATCGATTGTCTCTTTAATGTTGTTTAATTTTGAAAAAAAAATGTATATCAGTAATTATGATAATTTATATTTATCAACTATTGATTAGTAAAATCCTTGATATAAAATTATTGATATTTTAATAATTTATATTAGTAAAATTTGATATTCCCTTTTCAACATATTTATAGAGAGGCCAAACTACGCATATGCATGACAACTGGTTGGGTTTTGTCTCACCCCCGCCTCTAACCTCTTTGACTGTCCGGCTTTTATTTTTTATTTAATAATTAAAAATTAAATCTTCTTCTCTGATTTTATTTTTTGGATTTTCTCCCTCACGATAGATACCCGTTCCACATTATTTCTAAAAATTAATTATATTTACAATAAATTAATTTTAATATTTTTAATATAATTTTTATACAAAATATTAATAAATTTAGAATTATTAATAATTATTATTAATTAAATATATACTTTAATTTATTATATTTATATTAATATATATATATATAAAAGAAATATTTAATCATTTTATTTGTTATATGGATATAAAGTTATTATTATTATTATTATTGTCATTATTATTATTATTATATTGTATTTAAATATTAATTATATATAAGTTAATATCTTTTAACTTCTCATTTAATTTTTTTTATATGAAATATATAATTAATAAAAATATATTTAATAAGTTAATTATTATTTAATTAGTTTAAAGTGATAAAAATTTTAATTAATAATTTTTTTAAATCGTTCAAAATATAATTATTATATTAAGAGAATTTAATATATAAAAAACATGAATAATAACATTTAAAATATATAACATAATAAAACCTAATAATAATAAATTAAAAATAAAATAACATTAATTATTATTAAGATTGATGTAGAATATTCAGATAAAAATAAAGAATAAGAAAAATTAATTTTGTGTTTGTTAAATTCATTAAAAAGATTAAAAAACTAGATTAATAAAAAATATTAAGAAAATGTTAAGAAGGTAAAAAAATAATATATAATGAATAGATTAATCTAAAAAATTGAAAAAGATAAAATAGTGAAAAATAAACAGAAGAAGATAAAAATGATGAAATATAAAAAAATAATATTATATAACATGAAAAATAAAATAAAATATTTTAAAAATATTAAATTTTAGAATTTAAATTTAAATATAACGGATACAGGATTTACATTATGTATCTTTAGCCCTATTTCTGACTTTTTAAAATGAAAAAAATTTGAACTCATCCCAATCACGTCTTAGGTTAACTCTATTTTTTCCATCAAAAGGATAGATGCCACGAATAATTGTTATCCCTAAGTACACATATAAATAGAGAGAGAGTTCGCATTATAAGTTTTTATTGAATAAATAAAAAAATATAATTTATTTATATTTAAAACTAGTTAGTGAGTTTTATAACCTATATCATTACTGATTAAAATCAATAACAAAGAGGTTTTAATTTGGGATTACGAATTACAATAAGTATACATATGCACTTTTTAATAGATTTTTTTTATTCTTTAATCAAAATATACTTGTTAGTATTTTCTTTACTCATGTTAGTAGGAAATCGAGAAAAGCGATCGAAAAAATGAAGGAAAGAAAAATCGAGAAACATGTGACTGATCGGTAAAACGAAAAGGTAGATGAGGAATCATTCGATATCCAATTAGAATGGCATGGTACATAAAATCGAAAGTTAGAGTTGGAATCGGAGAAATAATAGTCAAAAGTTTATTGTGGAACAAACCAAGAAATTAGAAGTATATGATGCTAAGGTAAAAAGGAATCAAAAGTAAATCCGAAGTTCTCGATAAAATCGAAGTCTAAATCGAAAGAAAGGTTAACCCGCGTAAAATCGAAATCGTGGCCAGATCATAAAGAGGAGTTAAACACGCATATAGGAAACAGTTTCTAAATCGTGGCGAAGTTGAAGATCATGGGAACGTGGGTGCGGTTTTGACACCACAAAAGAAGAAACTGCAATGCGCACGAAGAACGTGGTAGCAATTTTGTTAACTGCTCCTGGAAGGTTTGAATGATGCCCTATAAATAGTGCAAAGGAGGAAGGAACGGGGAGCAGAAATTGGCAGAGAACAGAATCAGTAGTGAAAAGTCTACCGGAGAAACGACGAACACCATGAAGCTGGCAATCTGGATTTCCTTGCTCACTGAGTACATTTACCGCTTTCTGTATTTTCCTTGGTAATTTACTTTGATGCAACTCAAATTCAGCAAGTTTAAGTTTCTGTCTTTTCGATTCCTTGTCATTTCAATTTAATGAAAGTTTAAGTTTCTGTATTTACGATTTCCTGTCATTTACTTTTCTTGCAATCTCGATTTCTTGTCATTTATATTTGCGCTGTTTTCGATTTCCTGTCATTTACAATTAATGCAAATTTGGGGTTTTCGCACTTTACATTTCCTTGCAATTTAATAGTCTGTTTCTCGATTCGATATTTTTACTGTGTTTGGTATGTTAAATATAAAAATAGCGTTTTCGATATTCTGTGACTTTCAATTCTCATACATGTTTTCGATTGAAAGTCAGACTGCTAGCCTAAGTAAAAAGAACTTACGTGGGAGGATTTTGATTAGGACCAAATCACCTTTAGAATCGAAATCGATCGAAATTCCACCAGAAACAAATTGGCGCACTAGGTAGGGAACGCTTTCTGTGTTGAGAAACACAAAATTGGTTAGTTCGAGAGTGTATGAGATTAAGGAGTGGGAGAGTCATGAGTCAGAGTTCATCAAGTAACCAGAGTAACACTGAGGGATTAAATGGGTCACATCCACCAAATACTGGGGGGCAAAGTCATAATGGGAATACACCTGTAGTATCGACAACTGTAAGTATGTCGATACCCGTGAGTAATGAACCAAATTCAGGCACTTTAGCAAATACCCAAGTAGGATCTAGGACGATGGCACTAAACAGTATGCCAACTATGGGAAACCCTATAACAACAAATGTTGGGCCGTATATGAGTATAAGACCACCTGGGTTTTCACTTAACATGAATGGAGTTGGTACTTCTTCGATGCAACGAAATTCGAGATATAACTTAGGAACATTCCAAACCCTAGGTATGCCACAGAATTTTGGAGTATCCCCAAACCTAGGAACATCTCAAAATTTAGTAATTCCCCAGAACTCAGGGAATGTGCAGAATGTAGGAACGCAACAAATACCTCCAAATCTAGATCATAGAGGAAACGTAGATCATGGGAGATATGCGTTCGATAGGGATTATCATCGATCTAATTTTGATACTATCGAAAATACTGGTACTGGAATATCTAGTAACTCCTTAGGAATACTTAGACAACAAATGGATGAAAGTAATTTTGAGATGGTAAATATGTTATCACAATAGTTGACTACAGTTCTAAATCCATTAATTCAAAACACTACCGCTAGTTTCGAGATATTAGCAGACCAAATGTCACGAATTGGGGATGCATTGGTCGTACCTCGACAAACGAGAGTAGAAAATCATGCCAATCAGAATACTAACATCAATCCCCCGTATCTATTGAGGAGAAATAGAAACAATGATCAACATCAGCATATGGGAAATGAGTACCAACACGTGAGGAATGACATTTATGGGAATTTGAACGAAGGATTTCAAAATATACACAATCAGAATAACATGTTAGGACAGAGGATGAATTTACAAGGGATGGAATTTAGACCACCCAATCCAACGTATTTTGTGTCACATTTCCCAAATGCGATTCTCGAGACGGAATTACCTCGAGGATACAAAGTACCCAAATTCACTAAATTTGCTGAAGAAGTTGGTGAATCGACTATCGAGCATGTAGCTCGATATCAGATCGAATGTGGGGATTTAGTGATGAGTGAAGAATTAAAGATGAAATATTTTCCTAGTTCTTTAACTAAGAATGCTTTTACTTGGTTCACTTCGTTGCCACCCAATTCGATATATAATTGGTTGCAGTTAAAGAGAAATTTTCATGAACAATTTTTTAGAGGAGAGACTCAAGTAAGTCTCATCGATTTGATGAACATAAAACGATACAACCATGAAATTATAGATGATTATCTAAATCGATTTAGACAAATGAAGTCGAGATGTTTTACTCAAATTCCTGAATATGAATTAGTCAGGATGGCTTCTGCAGGTTTAAAATTCTCGATCAGGAAAAAATTAGTCAATTTACCACTGAATGATATGGCTCAATTAGCCGATAAAGTAAGAAGAGTGGAACAAATTGAGTATGAAAAACAAAGGCATAAGAAATTTGAAAAACCCATGAGAAAAGATAAGGTAACATACATAAATGATGTGTATGAAATAGATCCCACGACAGAAATCGATATTGAAGAAGCTGTCGATGAGAAAGTGAATATAGCTGAGCTCAAAGTAGGAGCTCCATATATCTGTAAACTACTACAGAAAAATGAAGTGAAAGA